AATGGGATTACAGTAATAATAATAAAACAATGCGTGTTAATAGCCGTTGGTTAATAACTTAACGTATAGGTAGTAAGTATTTTGTGTGTAGAAATATTAAAATAATGAATATTGTAGAAATGTTAATATTGGTATTAGTTTTGGTTTAAATTATGAAACCAATTAACAATTATGCCGGTAAGTTGTCCATATGAGTTGAATTCGAATTGCATCTGTATTAGTAGGCTAACTGGGAGAACAAAAGTATTACCATGGAAAAGAATTCCAACTAGTGTTCCAGTTAGTTTGATACGGTTTATTTAGTTACGGGGAGATTTTCTCAACCTCATTTTTACTTGACCGTGATAGAATTTAGTAATACTACTAATACACATGAATGTTCATCAAAACAAAATTTAAATACGTGAGTGATGATTATATGAATTTTGGACAGATAACTAGGAAAAAATCGTTAAACATGAGTGTATTCGTAAGAGATATGCTCTAGACTCAATGTTCTGATCTGTGGCAGACTATTTATTTATATTTATACTTGCCGGCTGATTGGGCATACAAGTTAGTTGCAAGTATGCAGTTTATCATAAGGCGGAATACGATTTAATTGAGATATAATGGTTATAAGTTATTAAAATCAGTTAGGCCTGTGTCATATTACGAAGTGATGTGGTGCTGCAAGATGTATTTAGCTAAATAAGTTTTTACAAGATGATTAATAGTGATTGATGCTCATGTGATTATCAGGGAGAACATAAGTTGTAACCAAGGGGAGTACACTCCCAACTCATGTCTATGATAATGGCTTGAACCTTAGTCAGTGTTGGGGTAAATTCGACATTGATGTTTTCAGTTTGCAGGAGATTTGCTCGACTGCTTATACTGATTATTTGCATGCATGATTGTGTCGCTAAACCTCCAATTAGACTGACAAGGTTTTGAGATATTTACTGAATAAGCAACTGATAGAGAAACATACTGTAATCATCTGTAGTGAATGAAGATAAAAGAAAAACAACACTAGTGATAATTATAAGTCAATTTGCTGATCGATTTTGTTAATAGTTTCATTAATTTTATCAGTCATATTACGTGATTGTCAAGTTATGACAATGCTTTATGACGATATCCTGAAACTATTATGTTTAACTAGTTATAGTGTTGAATGAGGATTAGTCAGTGGAAAAATAGGTATTGTTGCTTTGCTTTAAGTGATTCGAAGTTATCAGAAATTTATAACGTTAAAGAATCCGAGACGCCTAATTTAATTATAAATTTTAATTCAGTAAGATTCGTTTAGTGTTAATTCTAGTAGGATACGGAGTTTTGATTTTAAACGTTTGTTTAGCCAACAGCTACCTAGGGATTTAGTTATTTTACTAGTGCAGTTGATAGTACCTAAATTTTTAATCTTATTATCTAAACTATGTTCGCATTTTAGGCTGCTAATATGATAAACCAATCCATAAACCCAAATACGATTAGCAACAACGACTATGATGGGTTTATTTATAAATGTTAAAGGCGATTCAGATGGTTCCTAAATTTAGAAGACATGAAGATATAGTGCAACGTATGTGCGAGCCAGGTTAACAAGCAGGTTGTTGACGTATATGACGATTTAAAAATAATGAGCATGACCAGAAAATAATTCTAAAGTTTAGACTGCTTGTGAAACTTCAGGCAGGAAGATGACGCGTTATAAACATTCCATAAGAAGTTACTGCATTTAACCTAGGGACACTTACAAATATATAGCAAAAGGAACCGGAAAACATATACATGTTAAGTAAAAAAATCATTAAGTAAAATAGTTGAACTCGCCTGAATTATTTTTGAGAATTAGATTATTCAGTGGACGACATATAAAACGCCATTCGTGAGGAGTAGTAAAGATCCAAAAGTATCCAGAATAAAACATGCAGTATGGCAATTAATTCCAGAGTCCTTGATGCTGTTGACGTTTTCGCCACTCGCTCGGATCAGAACAACCGAATGAATCCAGATAATTGTGCGGTCACCATTGAACGAGCCATCTAAAATGACCTTATGATTGCAGAAAACTTATGACTAAAACTCACCGTATGTTTTTAAAGAAGTGTCATCCTTGTTGTTTGGCAATGGATCTCGAGAATATGAAATTAAGCAGGCAGTGGTCGGAAGAAAAGATATTACATGATAGTGCATATTTTAAAACAGGATGAGGTGTTAAGTGAAGGAGCATTAAGAATTAGTTCCAGATAACTATTTAGTCCTTGCTTACGTTGTTAGTCAATGTATATTTACGTTATTTGCATGTCGTATTTGCTAGAGCTTGATGTTTAAACAAGACTATGTCGCTGAAGCATGTAAATGCCATTACAGCTTGTTAACAAATCATCAAAGCTAATTAGTTAATATAGACGACCAGTTTTTATTATCGATTGAGCTAGTTTGTCATGAGGACTAATCAATATAACATTACGATAATGCATGTGAGCATTAATCAGAGGACTATTAGAATACAGGGTTAACATAAATATAAAATCGATCGAGAAAGTTGAAGTGGAAATAAGGATTATTAATAATAGGTTGCGTTTCTTTAGTTGGGCTCACCAATGTAGAATTATGGTCTACCATTATATTAGTACTGCTCTAATAATAGACCTAATCCTAAATTTTGTAGATTTGTCATGATATAACTGCCTAATCTATAAGATCTTACGTGGAAGTCACACCATCGACTACACCAACTCACTGTATCGCATCAATTACCAATACATGATGTAGAACAAGGTTAGGCTAGAGAAAAAACAATATATTTAATATGAATAGAAGATATAAGGTAACATTCAGCAGAGACCGCGCCTGCATGGCCGAGCCATGCCACTCGATCAACTCCAGTCCATTCAATTCCTTGTTCGCGCCTTCGCCATTCTAGGTATTTATCCGCGTTAAATATTGAATATCTACTTTCTGAGTAGTGTTGTGTTCAGCTTTGAAGATTATGTGGTTATGGTCCAATGCCACTACAGACCCAGACTCAAGTCTTTCGAGGAGCGCCCGCAATCACTAAACTTTTACCCGGCTCAATTCCACTACAAGAGTCCAGGCGTTTTAGACGTGACCTACTAACTAGAATGCACACCAGTTGGAAAATTTTATAATCGTGAGTTTTATAAGGGATGATAGGTTCACTCCTGTTCTAAATCTGTATTATCGACCTGCAAGTAAAGATAACCTTGTTAGCACTGATCTATGCAAATGACGCAAAGATATGGTGATCCATGGAAGGCGGATGAGATTCACAGGAGCTTGAAAAAATGTTACGACAACAAGGGAATGAGCAGTAAAAAACAGGTCAAAACGTGATTTGTCGAAATGTCTTGTCATGAACATTCTGCCTCATTCGACACATAGCACTTACACTCTCCATGGAAATCCACTCCCGATTATCTTCCCAGAGCATGGTCTCGGTCTTGTAACCGCAAAGGGCTTAGAAATCAGTTCAAACTAAATTGAGGTTACAGTCAAGACAAACACAACTCTCCACTTTGTGATTTGTCAACTTAACGCAATCTCCTCAGAGTTGTTCCTGGTACTAGTTAAAGCGTGCTCATGGCCCCACCTTGAAGTCCATGAGGTCGCTATGCTCCCCTTGCTTAAAGAAGAGATAAATCTCTTGGACCAAGTACAAAGACAGGCAACGAAATGGGTAATAGGGCTAGAACATAAATCTTACGAGGACAGACTACATATACTGAGATTATTCTCACTGAGCTACAGGAGAATGAGAAGTGGTCTGGTAATGACACACACATTGAGCACACCGGAACACCCCGACGCGAGCATGTCGCCAGAACATAAATACCCCACTCTTCAAAGCCGCTCCCGAAAAGATTGCACATCAAAGAACGGACGCCTAAGTACGCTCTCAAATTTCTCGTTACGAGCTGACTCATCTGGAATGCTATCCCAGCCGAAATTGACCACATCCTCTCAATGGAGAGCTTGAAGAGGTGACTTGACGAACAAGTACTCACCTGTGGATTACCATGTCCCTTTTGTACCATCAGTGTCTGGTGCATGTCTCATAAATTAACACAGTTATTATTACTGCACAACTAGTAACTACTTCCCATTTGTCTTATTATTATCATCTCCGTTACTCGCGTAATCAATCATTTTAATGTTCATGGACATTATCAGTTAAGCCACTTATTTATTTACTCTTGAAACAATCGTGTTCTCTTAGTGCGCCGATTATTACTATTATTTTTATACTGCAATCGGTCAACCTCTTGTCTGTAATGTGACAGCTGCTGGTATCCAGAAACTCTACTTCTGTGGTGGACCAAAAATATATCAATTCCAAAAATAATGAAAAAGCTACAACGTCAAAAATTAATATGACAATATATCAAATATAAATTATATATCCGAGAAAAATATACAAGATGTCACTCAGATTGTCAGTAGTTGGCATGTTTGTGTTTGTTTTGGTCTGGTAATCCACATTTATAAGTGTTTAATAATCCCAATCACAATTGTTATAGTTCGAAATGTACATCCAGATAAAGCATATAATGAATATATCACTGAAATCTGTAAACGCAGACAGTAAGTATAATAAAGACCTGTTATTATAACAGCGGGCAATTGAGAACAAGATGCATATATGTGCATCGGTGTATTCATGAGCGACAACACGTATGTCATGCTATAGGGGATTTAAAAACGAAAGGTCAAATGACTGGAATATTACCCGTTGGTCATTATGGAATACCCGGAACCGTACAAGAACAACAAGAAGCGAGAGCCAAGAAATCAATAGGTTTATACAAGCTTGTGACAAAAATACTGGATTTTATATTGATTTATTCTTTAGGAAGATTTACTACATATTTTACTATATTTCGATGACTTTTAGCCCTTCTTTACAAACGTAAAGTACGAATAGTGTTCTCTAATAAATCAATCATATTTCACTTGTTATAGTGATTCTATGTCTGTTTAATTCTCTCTACGGCAACGCGCAGGGTTTGAGGATGTCACACTTATCGTGATATTTGTGTTTTGTTGACTGAAGTTCCTAATTATGTATGTCTTACATATATAGAATGACATGAATTTCTCATCGTGTGACTGAATACGACATGTTGTTTCATTGAATCATCTGCAGTTTCAACATGAATTTCATGCATTTCAATTTCATTATTTTGGGTAAATTTCGGGGTTTTCCTCAAAGTCGTAAGGAATATGCTAGTTTTCCATAAAGTGTTATAAGATTCTGTGCAAATATTAGGGAAAACCCTAAATTTCCGCAAACATTTGTGGATTTTCCCCAGACCTGGGGAAATGCTGGGGTTTTTGTGCTGTTTCCCTAAAGTTTTCTATTTCGGTTTCCCCAAAATTTACCCTAAACAAACAAAATTTTCCCGAAAATGTGGAGATTGAGGTATCTTTTACCCACCTATTTTACTTAATGACGTACGTCTACTGGTTGATGTTTAAGTTTAATCAAGCAAACTGGGTTTGGTTGATATATTGGTGCTATATGTATGTATAGGATAACGGAGAATCACCATATATGGTTGAGTACAAGATAAAACAGTATTGAGACTGGCTATCATATTTTCCCTTATTGATAAGGCTAATCTTCAGTTATAATAAATGTGGATAAACTAAGAGGCCTGTATTGTTTCCTAAAATTATTAGTTACTTGAAGACTCAGTATGTCCTTGAAGGTACCATCCAGTCCTGGTAATGCTCGTTCACTTGAAAACAAAACATTTTTTGTCAAGTAAAATTGCTTTAATGTTTAGTAAATTTCTAGATGTTAACTACTGAAAACTGGTAAAAGATATCATATTCATTTCTTGCTTTACAAAATTATTTAAAATGTTTTTTCCTCCTTGTTTTATGTTGTTCTTCAATAACGCTGGTGCATTTTTCTTATTTTCAAAAGCATTAGTGTGTTGAGATCCTACTGTTATTTGGTATCGTTTATTATGAAACCCTTGATTGACGGTATAATTAGAGTGGGATCGGATTTGGGTTTTATTGTTGCTTGTAATTTCAGTTTATTTCACACATAAACCGTTCTCAATTTATAGTGATAGTCACCAATACCGTTCTGCAGAATGTTGATCCGTACAAAAGAGGATACTTTGTTCAAGATGAATCAATTAAAAAACCATTTAGACAGAACACTATCTCAAGTACTGTCCTTTATGTAGTGTCCTCACTACTAATACTGATTACGGTATTTTCGTCCTACTCTCAGAATTTTATATTACTTTGCTTTCAGATAGTTGTCGGTGAAGTAATTGTTAGTGCAAAATCTTTAAGAAAAACTCATCATAGAATACCGGTGGTTTGTTTATCGGATTAGAAATCATGAAATTTTTAACTTTGTAGGTTTTATATCCAATTTACGATTCCCTCATTGTTGCTTCTTTTGGCTACTTTGCTACTATCGGTCTTACGGATGTAGGCAAAGTCTCATTTGGTCGTCTCCGTCCAAATTTTCTTGATGCATGCAAACCTTCTGACCTTCAAACTACGATCTTGGGTTTTGTTGGTAATTTTACTTGTTCATCAGACAAATCAAGTGGCCTGAGGTAATAACCAGTTTTTGTTGACAAGATGGCTATGACACTTGTGTTTATGCTAGATTTCGAATTTTCGATCCATAAGAACATTTCTTGTTCTGTGAAAGTAACGCCTTCATAATCCCTAGATTTTTCGGAATACAGAGCTTTGTCTTTTACTGATTAGTTCAACTTTTACTTAGTAAGGTTCCTGTGGTCCTTCGAGTGATAAATCAGCTTTGATATTTTACTTCATTCAATTTATCAATCGGGTAATGCTTATCAGCATTCACAATAAACGTGAATCTATGTTTGGTAAACGGACGTGTTTAACTACTGAGTTAATAGAAAGTTAGGATTATGTAATCGAGCTGTGTCGTGCTATAGTACGCTACTACATAACTATGTTTATCCGCTGTACTTTTTATCTTGAATTTATTCGGATGGGACTACTTCAACGGCTTGTTTAACTCGAATAGTTTTTCAAGGAAGGTCTTAAAATAATCTCTCAGTGTGTGATAAAAATGTTCTACAATATTTACGACAATATATCAAAGCTTTTTGATAGTAATGCAATCACCGGCAACCTCGACAAGCGATGCTTTCTAATGCTGAAGTAAATCGGAAAAAATCTGGAGGTGACCAGACCTAAAAATCATATCAGTCCATAAAGTCACTCACTGTTGGTAGATGCAAATTACTTGGTTGGGGTATGTATACTAATCGCGCTCAATGTTCGGAGGCTTTGGGTAACATGGGACGAAATTATGGTGTAGATACACTAAATCTTTACTTAATTCTCGCCATTAAACTCGAATGTCTCTCCAGCCATGCCTTTTCAAATTATATTCCCAACTCTTAATCTTCTCAGTATTACTACTATATTATTTCTCTATTTCCTTATCGTCATCTTGTCATGCTAATACGGTATTTTGACATGGGCTAGCGCACACCTGTGTTGGAATCGATGTTGATGGTGTCCATGCATTTGTTCAGTCACGTTTAAATGCGTCGAACTTATTTGTTAAACGTTCTAAAGTTATTGGAACTCTCTCCTGATGTTTAGACATTGTAACAATCTTACATGATGTTTTTCATTCTATGCGGTCTTAAGCCTATTTAACTCTTCAACTAAAAGGATAAAAACATTCAAATTTGTAATCCATGTTCGGTTTTTACGTCTGCATACTTTCTGAATCTTTTTTAAAACATTTAACTATGATATCTTTTACAACACAATAGACAATGAGTCCTACATTAAAGTATGTAGCATCCGTAACAAGCTTTTGAGCCATTAACTGTTTTTAAGATTCCATCTAAGAAGTCATCATGTTTTAAAAGACGTTAATTCAACGTGAACGTTCTTCATTTCCCGACGAACTGTGAAGGCTGATTATTTTCTTAATTTCTAAGTAATTCAGTATCAGTAAATAATTATTGATGTGCTGTATACAGCAAAAGTATGTGCAAACTCAGTATTACCTTCCTGAATCTACTTCCGCATAAACTATAGGCTTTTCCCTACTCAAACCTTAAAGCTAATATGAGTACTGAGACCGAAATTCAAAATTATGATCAGTTTATCTCTTGTTAACCATGAAAATCGAAATAATAGTACAATCGATAATGGCAAAAAGGTTAAATATAGTTTTTGATGGAGTTTTGTTCTGAGCTGGATGGTGTGGTCTTGGGGTTTTCGTCGTTATTCTGAACGACACCATCAGCACAAACTTCGGGTAGAAGTTAAAGTGTTCGAATTTCCTCACATATGGCTCACAACTTGTCCTGTAGACCTCGATGTTGATTGGTTATTGTTGACCTTTAACCTGTCATTGTTTACTTCTTTATATTGGTTGTATCTCCCATTGATTTGATTTTTGGTTTTATATTTGTCCATAATCTTTCTGATTGGTTGATAAATTGGATCGATTTCAATGTGTTTGTTGATTACTGACTGATCTGAATGTCAAGCTTTTAAAAATTCTCGGGTGTTTTTAGAACTTCCTCTATCCAAGATCTCAATGTCTTTCCATTCGAATGCTTGTCCACAGTTGTCCACATGCATTGACATAAGTTAATGCAGGCAAAGATGAAGAGCGCGTCCGCTTTGTTCAATGTAGTGCTTTTCTCAGTCGGAATAATTTATTTTATGGTTGATGTTTGGTTTCTCTTCCTTTATCATTTCGTCCCATGGTTTGCATAAGATTGACTGAAGTGATTTTGTTGGTTTGTGTGCTACACCTATTCCAAAAGGCTTCAACAATCTCGTAGTTTCTCATATGCCTTTTATATATGGAAGGATGATCCTTTTGTTGGTTTCTGTACTTGACTTTGTTTCTGCTGATGCGTTTGGCTGGTATTTTTTGGTCAACTTGATTGGGTAGCCGTTCTTCTGAAAGATAGTCTTCCGGTATTTTCCTACCCACTAATATCGATTATCCCTCAAATTCTAATAACATAGTCTAGACCTACTTACACTAGTCAGACATAGTGATTTCACCGAGAGCTTCAGTGACATAAAAAGTGTTCACTTTATCTAGTCTGCTCAACAACAATATCTACTCAGCTCAGTTCTGTCACTGTGCGACATAAGAATCACTGGTTTCTTCATGAACTTTATGGCCTTTTAATTATATACATTTCAAATTGGAGGTATTGACTAAATAAACAACTTCAACTGGAAAATCGTAATAATGATTAGCAGTATGATACTGACTTTTTATTGTCTTTACACGATGCGTACGGGTTTATGTAGGTGCTATCAAATAATTGTAATCAACTTTTTATCATCAGTTCTATCTTACATTCTTTTTTGTTCATTTCATTCCAATTTCATATGTATAGAAAATCTTTCCCATCTGGACATACCTCAATTGCAATATATACCGCTATATTTCTATGTGTGAGTTAACCCAATTACTTTTCCAAAACCATACATTTTTATGATTTTTAGACGAACTTAAGTTGTCATATTTTTTCTTATTTAGTTTGAGTGGAATGGTTTTTTGTTTCAATAACCAAGTAACAGGTTCATATACTCGGCCTTTAAACAGTTTTTGTATGAGTTAATGATAATATCGGATTGCTAATCTTGACTTCAGGTAACGGGTTCGAACCAGTGCTCCAGTAGAGCTTATACCATAGTTTAGCGGCTAAACGAAATATGCCTGTCACCCCTCTAATCTTTTACACTTCAGTCAGTTTTTTCAGTCAACTTAAAATACTATATTTTTTAAAAAAAATGTATATAGTTTTACTGACTTTTAAAGCGTGGTAGCTTGAATGTTATCTAGTTGTACGGTTTCAATGTGCTGACTTTATTAGCCAAATTGGTTAAAAATTCACTTTCATAATCATCGCTAAGACTGGAAAAAACTGCTATTTATCGTTTTGTGCTTATCCTTGATTTCCTATCGGATATCATTCCATGTTAAAAATAATACTTAACGGTGATTATAATTGGATGACCGAACCGTAGATCACAGAATTATAAGTGTTTGCTTTTTTCACCTTAAGACCCGTAGGTCATGAGTTTCTTTCTGATTGTGATCGAGTATTTGAAATTTTGAGTAGTTTTGTTGAAGATGTTCTCCGTTTTTATCACTTACAAGATTTTACCATTGAATTGTTTGTAATAACCATAATCCGTGCAACATTGGAAGTCGATTTATCTTTAATGTATGATAGGTGGCTGTGTCGTCTAAATGTTTATTTAGTAAATATATTAGTCAATGTTTGTCTTCCATTTCTGATTTAGTTGCGAGTGGAGGGTATGGTCATTACTCGTCAAAATTCCTCTGTAGTCCATAATTACGGACTTTACCAACTAGGTAATAAACATTTATCAGTTTACACGGTTAGATAAAGTAAATATTCTCTTGTTTTCTTTGGTCTTTTCATATTGTTTTAGAAAATTAACCTCTACCTCTTGGTCTCAAAAACGACTAGATAATATGTCTGAAAAAATAAATTAAATATTAAAACTGTAGTTAATATCTTTTTTCTAGGATTATCAGATGATTTTGATGGAGTTTTGTTCTCTGAGCTGGATGGTTTGGTCATAGAGCTTTCATCGTCCTTCTGAACGACATCCTCAGCATTAAATTCAGATAAAGTCCAGCTCAGAGAACAAAACTCCATCAAAATCATCCATCTCAGCTACAAATCTTCTCCATCATCTCATGATCAGATGAATTATACAAAATATTGTTATTTATGCCGGTTAAAAAAGTATTTTCGAGATTTAATATAATTCATCCATAAAAGTCAATGCAGCGAAATTTTCATATGCATAGCAACGTAACTCATGACATAAAAAACTGTTAATGAAAGACTTTATTTAAAATCAATCATTACTTTTTGAGGATGCTGAATCACCAAGTACTACATTGAGGAGGACTTCATTTATTGACTTTCAGTACATTTTTACTTCTCGATTTATGCATTATGGAATCAGTTGATTTTATTTTCATTTCTATATGATTTTATGTTTGAGTGGTGATTATTCAGTTAATAAATTCTGTAACTAATAATTATTTAATAATTTGCCCCCAAATGCCCTGGTATGGCCGAGAGTGAGGAGAGTCCGCTACCCCTCTCAAAATGCTCTCACATGGTCACGTGGATACAACCACTGCCAGGGAATTCTTACTCACTACCTTCTCGCGGCGGGGATGCTTTTTACAAAATTGAAAAGACAAGAAGCGAATATCCGGCGCTTTAACCGGGTTGGTGAACATGGAGAGTCCACCTAGGAGAGTTGGAAAACCCTGATTTCAAACCAATGGTGTACATGGGCTCCAGTATCGTGAAGGAACAAATGGCATATGAATCAATTATTGGTCACTAGTTACTGCGGGGTTGCATCTCCTGACGTTGCTCCATTACCTTGTGGATTAGACCTGTAGGTCAAAGGCTTGGGATGTGGCGCCTCAAGAAAACCACCTGCTTCAGTTTGGGCACCCGAGCAGTATTCCAGACCTCACACAAATCGAATGATTTGTGTGGTGCATATCTATTGGTGCCTCTTTGTACCGATGTACCAATTTAATAATCTCTAAATAATTACATTAATGTAGATGTAAATTAATTCTTATAAGATTTTCATCAATACATCTTCCTTACAAGACTTCTCTTTCTTCCAATCACTCTGGATGTCATTGTCAAGGCGTCGTGTATTAATCGTCCAGTCTATTTAGTTCGTGTAGATTTCTTTCATTTGAAATTACCTTACCCAAACGTAGTTCACAACATTGGCGACGGGAATAAGAAAATAAGTTATTATGGATAAGTGGGAACTGTTACTCATTCATTTAATCCAATTAGAGATTGAATTTATCAAAATACTTTTAACTGAGTCAAATCTGATCACCAGGTACATATTATGAGCATATAGAATGGATTATATATAAAAATTTCAGTTCGCGCAATAGTACAATGGTCAAAAGTAATGATATAACAAAGTCGAAAGAGAGTCACTACGAATTTCATACGATGTCCAAAGATTTTCGCCCAGCAGTAAGGTCGTGATTGATTGCAGAATTAGTGACCTACAAGTTGTTTTCCTCTAATTGCCTATGTTTTGTTATGTTTATTTTGTTCATATTCTGTATAGAAACATGCTATTTAACTACATGAAAAAAACTATTCTGTCTAGTGGTCTTGTGTTTGACTTTAAATCGTTCTAGGGCTTGGGTCAGTAATCCTGTCTCTTGAGCAACTATCAATCTATAATAGGTGTGTTCGAAGCATTGCTCGTATATCCTGGTAGTTGTTAGGAAACGGGTAATAAGTAAGGATGGCAAATCAATTGATGAAGTAGTGAAACTTCATCAGTTGAGATGGCTGGGACACGTGTTACGTATGCCCAACCACTGACTGCTTCGATGTGCGATGTTTTGTGGTGTAGGAGTAGGTTGGAAGAATGCTAGGAGCGGCCAGACGAAAACATGGCACAATTCCATGAAGTCACTGATAAGTGGACTGAGTCATGTTGGTAGGTGTAGACTACCTGGTTGGGGACCGCGAAATGAAAGCAACCGATGGTTAGAGACGTTGAATGACATTGCTGAAAATCGTTTGTAATGGCACATGTGCATCCACTCTTTGTGTTCTTCCAAATTCTAATCTTCTGAATTGTTCTTGTTCCTTTTTTATCTTTCCGAATTTATTACACTGAATTATACTTGTTGAATAATATCTTCAAACTCTAATCTTTCCGATTACTTCTTATACTTTTGCTTCCTCTACCACAATGGGATTTGAATGGACAATTGTATCTGTATGTTAATGTAGTATAGCAACGTGAACTGATGTACGTACGTACAAAGTTCTACGTTGTTGCTGACTGACTGACTGCAGTATTTTGAAAAATCCTTTCCCAAAAGACATTTATTCATAATACATTGTTAAAAATACCTTTTCACCTCTGATCATACAGTCATCTATTTTTTTTTCCAGCTTTATATTCAACTGAGATTTTCACATTCTCGCATGTATCCGGGTGTAAGAACATGTTTTCAAATGATTTATGTCGCTCTTGGATTAGTTGTTGGATATTCACGTATTATCGATAATAAACATCATTGGTCTGATGTACTTGGTGGTGGACTATTAGGATTTTTCGTAGCACTAAGTACCGTAAGTGAATCACTTCTGTTAGTTAATGTTTTTTTTCGAATTTTTAAGGTGTTTTATTATTCCATGGATGTAGTCAGATGACTAAAATGTTTTTGTTACAATAACTAAAGGTCATAGACGCGTTAAAAAATAGTGATACGATGAGTACTTATGAACAAAATAATGAGAATATGGGACTTAAGTAAAGGGGGCATGCCGTAATAATAATAATACTAAAGGCCAAGTTAACGATAACGATAGGACGTACTTCTTTTGTACGCATATTTCTGGCTTCCTCTCATGAATGGTAAGAGCTTCAGCTATTTTTAGTAGTTGGATACGAAGAAATCTAGGTAGATTTGAACGAATCGTATATACAACCTTAAAGTCAAACTGTGGGTCCGTAGAATGATTACAGTCGATTAGGTGTTCAAGTATAGAACTCCTAACTGCCTTCCTCTCACCCTTGTAGAACCAAACTGGAACGTGTTCCCGTATCCTAGTTGAAAGCGATTGCTGGCTACGGCCAATGTACCTTGCTCCACAATAGCTGGTGAACTGGTAGATACACATGAAGGTGACCAGATGGGGAAGCTTATCTTTTAACGATACAGAAAATAGGTTCCTGCTACTGAACGTTATTCACAGTTTTGCCGCATTGAATGTTCTTTTAATCTCTGTCGTTAAACGGTTTTTGATTACATCAGATGTTCAATTACCTTTAAATTCCAAACTTATATAGAGGTTTTTCTTTGGTACGGAACAACCAGATTCCTTGTCACAACTAATTCTTTTCATATTCTTATCTGTAAAGCGGTCTGGATAGCCATTTTTCGTCAAAATTTTCCTGAAGAATGCGAGTTCTTCGTTAATATATTCCGTACTGCATATCTGATGTATTCGATAACATAAAGAGTGAATGAAATTTCTCTTTCTGCTTAAAGGAACCCAGCTATAGAGGTTAGTCAGCTGGCCATTCCATGTTTGTTTTCTAACTATGGATCTTTTTGAGGAACCGTTACTCTTTCTCATCAGACGTACATTGAGGAAAGAGATTGACAGGTCTCGCTCACTTTCTAACATGAAGTTTATGGAAGGGTGGCATGTGTTGCAGGTGTGTAAGATATCTTCTAATTCAATATTATCGTCACAAACGACAAATATGTCGTCCATGTACCTTACGTATAGACGAAATCGATTAATCAACGAACTGAGTTGGTCGTTTCCCAATTTTGCCATAAAACAGTGCTAAAATTGGACCCAATGGGGACCCCATTGCGATCCCATCTCTTTTTCTATATATTTTATAGTTGAAACTGAACTGGTCATTAAAAGTACAACGTAACAATAGTTCTTTCAAGTAGTCAGCGGCAAACCTAGATAGAACACAGTAGATCTATGTTGTTAGAATCGTTATGCTCACATGTATAACATATAGTTTCGGTTAAATGTATACTAGTGAACAGAGCTAACGTCAAGCGAGAACATTTGTTTTCCGGAAGTACTAACGTCCTTAATACGATCAATAAGTAGAATAGAATATTTAGATACTTGCCTTCTAACTGGTTCCAAAATAGGTCGTAGCGGTAAACCAGGTTTATGTGCTTTCGGTAGTCCATATAAGCGCGGGATGATCGAACCCATCGGACGTATATGATCATATAAGTCTGGGGTTATTATCCCCTTATTCTTAAGATTTTTGACAACATCCGTTAGCTGTTTTTCAATTTGCAGTGTTTTGTCAGCTCCTCCTTTAGGTTTTGAAAATTTAGTAACATCCTCTGGGATTAACTTCATTTTATCCAAATATTCTTGGCAGTCAAGTAGTACTACACCAGTTCCTTTGTAAGGTTTATTTGGAATCAAATCTTAATTTGTTTTCAGGAGCATTAGCTGGTCCAAATGGTTCATAGTTAATAAGTTATTCTTACTAAATTGTATATTAATCTATCCATGACTATAGTCCACTAATGTGGATTTAAAATGCTGAAGATCTTGTGGGGATGTCGGCACATGATCATGAGTTTGATTTGATAGGTTTTCGAATTGCATTTGAGTATGAAGTCCATTGGTTTTGGAGGTGCTGTTACAGAACTTGGGACACAATAATAAGGCCTGCATTTGGCTTGACGAATGTTTTTCGGGATGCTCTGGAGACTTCCTAATTACGTCTACGTGTTGTCTCACCATATATCTTTCAATTCGTGATATTATCCAATTACTATCTATTGTCGTCGGTGATTTTACTGGATATCCAACATCATTGAACACAACTTTCCATCACAACTCTATTAATTATTTGGTTGAAGGGATGTAAGATCTAAATAACCTGCAAAAGTATTTATTGGAATTAAAATTTTAACTCTAATCGAAAAAATTTCCTAACGTTTTGATTATTTCCAAACTGATATCACTTTCCAAGATATATGAAACTAAATTATCGTTTATTTATTAGAGGTTACTAGTATTCGATCATAGGTGTGTTCGAAGCATTGCTCGTATATCCTGGGACCATCGAGTAAGTAATGCTGTTGTTAGGAGACGGGTACTAGGTAAGGATGACAAATCAATTGATGAAGTAGTGAAACTCCATCAGTTGAGATGGCTGGGACTTGTGTTACGTATGCCCAACCACCGACTGCCTCGATGTGCGATGTTTTGTGGTGTAGGAGTAGTTTGGAAGAAAGCTAGGGGCTGCCAGACCAAAACATGACACAAGCAATGAAGTCACTGATAAGTGGACTGAGTCATGTTGGCAGGTGTAGACTACCTGGTTGGAATCCGCGAGACGATAGCAACCGATGGTTAGAGACCTTAAATGACATGGCTGACAATCATTTGTAACGGCACAGGTGCATCCACTCTTTGTGTTCTTTCAAATTCTAATCTTCTGAATTGTTGTTGTTCCCTTTTTCTCCTTCCGAATTTATTTCACTGAATTATACTTGTTGAATAACATCTTCAAACCCTAATGTTTCCGATTACTGTTTATACTTTTACTATCTCTATCACAATGGGATTTAAATCGACAATTGTGTCTGTGTGCTAATGTAATATGACAACTTGAACTGATGTTCGTATGTACGAAGTTCCACGTTGTTATTGACTGACTGATCAAAGTTGTCACAGTTTTAGTAAATAAACGGTTGTATGAGTGAGTAGTGCTGAGATTGGGGATATAGTACTAGGTAAGAAAATCAAATCCTTTGATAGTGCTATGAACCTTTATTAACTGTACTATGCATCCCTAACCACTCTTCAGTGGAATATTGGCTGTTATAGGAATGGGATGGAACAATCAAAGACGTGGCTAGTTAGATTGATACATATTCATCCCACGTCCTACATTAATAGTGATTTCCTGACTTTTATATGGGCACTCAATAGAAAGTGAATAAATGGGAAAGGTATAAATATGTCATGATATAACTAAAATTAAAGGACTTTAACAACTAGTAATACTGTTAAATTGACCATAATTACTAACCAACAATATTTTGGACACAAAATGGTTAACTTGAAAGTTGTTGGTTGAAATCCTGCTAATATGCTAAACATTCTGTCAGTTATGATTATTAGTCGTATGTTCATTTTGCAAAGTTAACAAAACTTAGATAATCCTGATTAATCTGGTTACTTACAATAATAATAATAATAATAATAATAATAATAATAATAATAATAATAATAATAATAATAATAATAATAATAATAATAAAATAAATAAATAATAGTAATAATAATAACCCATGACCTATCAGTCTCGTGCGCGAGCGCTTAACCATTAGACCACTGAGCCAGCCGGCATCCAATGGTGTTAAGGTCTAGCTTGAACTAATCCACGAAATTCAGTGACACATCCACCATTGTCATCAGTGAGTTACTATCTCACAACAGTCCCACAATTGGATGAAACGGCCGTCCAGGGCTTCCAGGTTTTCCATGGTGGTCTCGCCTCAATTGACTCACGATCTCAACCATTGAAATTACTATAATATCCACAAAACCCCTTCTGATACATTTCGTCATTAATTGAATATATCTGTTTTCTATATACATTTAAGGAGATTATAATCATATGAAGTGCTGAACGTAAATAACTGGGAAATATCAATCCTTACAAATTGTAGTAGTTAACACAGGGCTCGGCACAAGTGTGCGTTAGCTCAAGTTGCTTTTCTTCATCAACATGATGAGGTCAAGTGAATGTAACGATGAAGTAATAGAAGAGTCAAAATAATTTTAGTAGTAATAGTAGTGGAATGGATTAAACATTGAAAAAATATTGTTTGAGAAGATGGAATGAAAAGGTATGTATGAAAGAATACACGAACTCAGGATCTGGATGAAATTAACTAGTGAATATGTCTGCGTGATTCTGAGCCATGTCACCCAATCATTAGTCGAGCATATCCCACCCGTGTAATCTGCATTTATCAACATGGGTTTGACCAACAGTCAATGACTTCATGGATTGATGTCACATTTTTGTTTGTTAACCTCTAATATTTTTCCAAATTGCTCCTATGCTATATAACATTGCACGTCAAGTCAAGTAGTGGTTAGACATACGTTATACATGTTTCGACCACCTCAGTGGATGAAAATTCACATCCTCATCAACTGATTTCGATATTTTTTACCTAATACCCTATGCTTAACATCAATAATAATTATAAAGAGGTTGATATAAAGATTTTGATTGAAATCAAGATTTTATACCTTCAATAGTAGAGTGATAAAAATAGTTTGGAATAATCAGTGCAGAAATATTGCCAAGAATGTTCACAATTTCTCAAAAAACTAATCTATGATCCTAATGAATTTGCTTTCTCAGATACTGCATTGATGATAGTTTATATTACCAATTGACTTTAATTGAATAATTATCGAAACCTGGGTTTCATTACGTACTTGTTTCGCCCTAGTTCAAACCCGCAATCAAGGCAGTGGCCGAGTTCAGGATCTTGAGGTCTTCCAGATAACTTAGCAAGCATTCAATTATTCATATATTTGCAAATTGTGGTAATTCACAATGTTTTGCCTTAAATTTCACAAACTAAGTCAATGGACTCAACTGATGATGATGATAATAACATTACTAATATTTGTCTATTTTTCTACTTATATACTCTAGTATATTTTATAACTTTCATAGCTATATTACTTACCGTATGTTGGAGACACTGGAAATTCTCTGCCTACTTACAGAGATGATCAAATGACGTAAGTTTCTTTCTCTTTTTTTTCGTAATTTGCTTCTCAATATGAACATTATCTAATCAGCTTTCTTTATATGTTTTGTTTATGTGAAATCAGTGAACTTATTTATTCCACCTTTCTTCTAAGCTATATATGAAAGTGGTGGCTAAGCGTAAATGGGATCTTTAAGGTCAAATAAATTGTCGATTTGAGAAATACTTTTGAATGATTCCTTTTGGAATTCATGCAATGATGTTGTTAAGATGGCAATAAGCAAGAGAAAGGTGTATTTATTGCGAAAAGTTACTAAGTATTTACATAATACATATACATAACCTTCAAACATCCATTTGCATCTTCCAGTGTGTTCTGTCATCTGAACAATCTATTCATTTGGCCTCTAAGTGCGTTCACTACACTGCGAGACAATACAATGTTCACCAGGTACTTGGATATGAGCCACACTCCAATTGCGAGAAATGATGATGATAATTTTTAAAAAAGCCTTCTACTTGTATTTTCATTTTCGTGGGTTCCTTTTTTCTAGAGTTACAAATGCCCAAATGCCCTGGTACGGCCGAGAGTGGGGAAAGTCAGCTTTCCCTCCCGAAATGCTCTCACATGGTCACGTGCATACAACCACTGCCAGGGAATCCTTACTCACTACCTTCTCGCGTTGGGGATGTTGTTTACGAAATTGAGAGGACGAAAAGCGAATATCCGGCGCTTTAACCGGGTTGGTGAACATGGAGAGTCTACCTAGGTGAGTTTGAAAACCCTGACTCCAAACCAATGGTGTACATGGGCTCCAGTATCGTGAAGGAACAAATGGCATATGAATCAATTATTGGTCACTGGTTACTGTGGGGTTGCATCTCCCTAAATTGCCCCACTGACTTGTGGATCAGACCTTCAGATCGAAGACTCTGGGTGTGGCCCCCTAAGAAAACCACTTAGTTCTCTTTGGACACACGAGAAGTATCACAGCCCTCACACATACCAAATGAGATCTGTATGGCGCATATTTATTTGTTGCCTCATTGTACCAATATCTATGTGTTAAAATAAATAAATAAATAAATCGCGCATGTAATAATGCTGTTTAAACGTGCCTTGTAGTTTTATTTCATATTTCTGTTCAGTGTTTTCACACTAAGGTTATGCACCTGAAATCTTAAATCTTAGCAGCCAATCTGATTCATGGGCTGATAGGTTTTTTTTCCAGTCATGCCATCTTTGCAAACTGTGATGCATGAAGCTGAAATTCTACCATTGGATATCAACCTGGTGGTTCTATTGATCAGAAGTTCGATGCGTGACCTGTAGAACTTGGAGTCGATTCCACATCAATTATCTATGTAGTATGAACATATCAGTTTCATTCCTAAACGTTACATGTTGCATTATACCATCAATAATAATAATAATAATAATACCATAGTATGTAAGTATTTTGAATATGGAAAAAATGGTGCAAAAAAACAATGATTAAAATAAGTATTTTTGGTATTCAGACATAACAAAGCCAATATCATCTCTGTCCGTATTATTCGATACATACATTGCTTCGTAAAATCTTGACTTATGTTTTACTGAATCAATTAGGATAAACTTATAGTCAAATAGCTTGTGTAGATTATGCATGATTTTGTTCAGATCATGATTACATTGGTCATATTGTCTCAATTCGATTCACCGCTCAATACTGACATATACTTCATATTGGATAGGCATAATATTACATCATTCTCCTAGAGTTATAATTTTCCAAACAGTTTTCATTATTGTATACGATTGGGTAATGTTTATTGATTCATCATAACTTAGATTGGAGTTGTATAGATCATTTAACTTATTGGAATTTGATTCTATCAAACATAGTCCCAGAATACAAGGTAGTGAAGACAATATTCCTACTTACTATCGTTTTCGATTGTATTATATATAAATTCTAAAATGAATGAGATCATTTTGAGATTTCGTTTACTCTGTTTTATATAATTCCAAATTTTGATCTGTTGTTTGTCTTTATTTTGGTGTCATCTATTAAATAAATTTGTATTCTTAATAGATAAGCCTGATTTGAATGATCATTGAATTATTTCTCAGTTAGTGAATGAATTCCTGGTTAGCATTTTTTTTTAACGAGTCAGTTTTCTACGAGCTCGGGTCACTAATTCCATCCCCGACCCTTTTCTTTTACCCGGGCTTGGGACCGGCAGTAGCTCTAGAAGAGTTGCAGGTGGAGTTTCATTCATAGTGTCAAAAATCATTTCAAATCATTTGAACTTCTAAAACAATATACAAATCTTTCTATTTATACATTGATAACCGCTTTGACTTAATTGTCTAACTAAATTTCGTCCTAAACAACAACATCATCAACGCAACACACCTACCTTATATAGAAATGATCTGTTTTGGTTAGTGCTCAAGTATGATATCAGTTTTATTATGGTTATTTATGGTTGATTGTCTTGATTTATTCTTTTACTCATTTTGACCAATGTCATATATATCAGGACCTTCTTAGTGTGGATCGAATATTATCGATCAATTTGCAATGTAGCCACTGGTCTAAGCGACTCTTGTGTAGCTATATTAAGATATAATATGGTGTTTAGAGGTATAGTTGAAAGGAAACCCTAGATCTAGGTTTCGTACTATTTGGATTAATTCATGAGTTTATTAGGACTTATTATTCAGGAATTCGGTTAATACGTTTATCATCTACAAGTTACAAATTTAATTACATATTATTTAGTTCATTCATTTTGTTTAATCATATAATAGATTACATTCAAATACTGTCTGAATTTGTTTACAGTTAGATTCAAGAGTACATACTTGATATAATTGAGTCAGATTATTATTATTATTATATGATGCCTTAGTGATTATCTAAGCATCACTAACGGGGTTTGACTTAGTAATTTAAAATTAAATTAAGCATTAGATAGATTATTTATTATGATAAAATTCTCTGTGCTAATGTGGTATGGCAACTCGAACTGATGTACGTACGTAAGTACGAAGTTCTACGTTGTTACTGACTGACTGACTGACTGACTATTATGATAAAATAATAATGTATTTGTAATATTCCAATAAATAGAAAGTTTAAATCTTGACTTTCTATGACTTGATGTAATTCACTTTTCCTAATTAACATAAGTTTAGGTAGTACAGATATAAAATGAACTCAATTATCTAGTACATACAATAAAGTTTGATTATATCGATGATGTCATTTGGATTAAAGGTAATATGACGAAAAATGAAACGATATAAGAATTATCATGAGAAGCTACTAAAGGATAATGAAAACCGATTACGGTTTAAAATGACAAAATAATAATAAAAATAAAACAAGGTGAAAACATAATGCAGAAGAGAATTAGGGCCGACGAAGGATAAGAGTTTGGATACGTCGTTTTGCATGAAAAATTCGGTCTTGGATAAGTGTGTCGCATAACTTGGTTCAGTGGAGTCCCATACTACGGAACGACCGTCCAGTGCTTCCAGGTTTTTCATCCCCTCAAACGGTACGGCCGAGAGTGGGGAGAGTCCGCTCTCCCTCTCGAAATGCTCTCATACGGCCACGCGTATATAGCCTCTGCCAGGGAAGTTCTACTGACTGCCTTCTCGCAACATTACTGTTGTTTAGGAAATTGAGAGGACGAAAAGCGAGTGTCCGACGCTTTAACCGAGTTGGTGGATATGGAGAGTTCACCTAGGAGACTTGGAAAACCCTCATTCCAAACCGATGGTGCACATGGGCTTCAGGATCCTGAGGGAACAAATGGCGTATGATCCAATCGTCGGTAACCGGCTATCATGAGACTGCATCTCCTGACGTTGCTCCACTGCCTTGTGGATCAGACCTTGAGGTCGAAGGCTACGGATGTGGTCCTCTAAAGAAAGCATCTGCTTCGGTTTGAGCACCCGAGCAGTATCACAGCACTCACACATATGAAATGAGATTTATGTGGTGCATATGTATTTGGTGCTTCCTTGTACCAATATCTATGTGTTAAAATAAATAAATGAAGTATCGCCAACGCTTCAGCACTTCATAAGTATTTGATTATGTTTCCCTTCAATCGACAGTTCCTTTGATTGTGTAGATTATTTTGAAGGAAGTGTTCTTTGGAGTGATGAGTACAGAGTTGATTAGGTGGTGTTGTATTGAATTGGTGATTGTTTTGCATTCCGTTCTTAATAGTCACGCCAATTAATGTTCTGAAATGCGTTTCGAAAGTGATCTCTTTGTACGGCCGATGTAACCTACCCCATAGAAGCAAGTAAATTTATAGATGCATATCGATGTGACTCAAAGCCGAAGCTTATCCTTAACACATCCGTGAGTGGTAGGCCTACTTGAGAAGACAATAATTATGGCTCGTAGTTTATTTTTATCCTCCTATCCTTCTCCTACCTCCTTATTATTACACAACTTCATTTGATATTTGGAATCTCGAATCACTTTATAATGAAATCTTTTTATAGACATATATTTACCAAAAAACCATAAATGCGAATGTACAGTTTAAGTAAATTATTTCATCGAAAAGAGAAAAATTTTTTTCTTTGAATTCCCTTCAGTATTTATTTGTTTATAATGTGAGATTTGAACAGGTCTAAATGTGATTATTTAAAGAGATGGTTCAAGTTGGATGGGTAGCGTTATGTTCGATTGAGTGCGGTACGATTCAGCAATGCACAAAGTGTTTCATCCACTTACCTTTCTTTACAGTTGGACAAATGTTTTTGTTTTTGAATTATTTGGATACTTGAATGTTGAGTTTTACAGAATGACTAGGTCTTTTTGTGTGGTTTAAATATTCCTTGAAACGTGGTAAGATTTTATGAAACTTTCGCATATAATATAGATCACAGTCGATACAACCTAGTTTTTAGTTGTTTTTCTGTGTAAATGTAATTGGAATGCTTTCCTTTATTCAAACTTAATCACTTTAAAGTGTTGGTCATTTTTATAAATAAAAAAAAACACCTTAACTCTGTGTAGTTTTAAGACTCATTGCAATTCTCTTGTTGTATCATGATGGTATGGCAAAAGTACCGTACCAACCTATGATATTTTGATCGATTTTTCGCTTAATAACAATCTATTTGGTCTGGGTACATTTCGAATAATACTTATAGGAAATCATTTCAATTACTAGATGCTTATTATATTTTTATATTCCTTCTGATGGTACAACATTGATAGTTATTCTGAATAAGTTTATAACCAAACAGAGATTACCACTGACTAACTACTTGAATTCTGTATTACCGATTTAAATGTCTTAGTTTTTGGTTCATGGTCAAATTTCGAATTCTCTCTATATACCTTTTAGCAGAACTGCTTGAAAAATAGTAACTCACCAGTGTCTTTTTCACTTTCGAAAGGGGATTTTATATAAATGGAGAAAAAAATGTGTAGTAGTAATTTAAATATCTCCATAGAATATTAAAAAGTGAACAAGAAATCATTTGAACAAATAATTATCATTCATATCTGTCTGTAATCTAGAAAAAAGTCCCCCAATGACCTAGTACGGTCGAGGGTGGAAAGATTTAGCGTCTACAGTCATTGCTAGGGAAGTCCTACTCACTGCCTTGTCATAGCATTACTGTTGTTTAGGCAATTAAGAGGATGCAAAACTAAGGTCTAACGCTTTAACCGGATTGGTGGATATGGAGGATTCACCTAGGGGAGTCGGAAAACCATGATTCCAAACCAGATGGTGTGCATGGGCTCTAGTATCGTGAAGGAATAAATGGTGTATGAACTAATTATTGGTCACCGGCTACCATGAGCCTTCTTTTCTGGTTCTATCCAATTTTTGTTCATTTTTCTCATGTCTGTTTACGTTTCTCTGCTTAGTGTATTCTTTGGTCTTCCTCTTCTTTTTTGGCCTTGAGGATTCCATGTGACGGCTTACCTTATGATGCAGTTGGGTACTTTCCTCAATGTGTGTCCTATCCATTCCGCCTGGAGCCCCTCTAGGGCTATTGCCGATCCTAAGTCCGGATAAATGGAGGAGGGTTAGGCGTGGGGTTAGCGACCCCATCCCGTAGAAAAGTTACTCGCTAAAAAAAACGCTATCACATCATTTGGTTACTAAATGGTTATCTGATATTTTACAACTCATTGGAAATCATATCGCTATATATATATAACTCTCTTGACTTCTTTAATCAGGATTTAATGTTGTGTCACTTAGATAAGGGGTTCAAGAATTGTCCTTGAAATGGATCGTCTTGACTATGTTACCTTTTAATTGCTTTACTTAAAGCTATGATTATCTTTAATCTTTTTGTTTTTAGTAATAGGCTTATTATTATTATTATTATTATTATTATTATTATTATTATTATTCTACACAATATAGTTTGTTTAATTTTCATTAACTCACCTATATTCTAATGTTTATATTCATCTCTTTATCATTATTCTATACAAATGATATTAGGGTACAATATTTTCCAATGAATAACTATTCATCTAATGGATCAGTCGATTATTTAAACTATAAGAAATTAGGTTAGTTATAAATTATGTATGCTATTTTTACTGATGTTCACATCATAATACTTTTTAAATACAAGTATACAAGTACGTAAGTAATTTGCCTAGATCGATATATTATCTATCTTATTAATAGTAATAATCTGTTAATCATGTCCCACTGAAGTTCTTATATCACAAACTGACTTCAATTAGGAAATCCTTAACAATTAGAAAATACTGGAAATTTATCCTGTCCCGGTGGTATCTATCTACGATTACATTAGAGTTTGAGTCTAAAACCTTCAAGCCTTATGGAAAACGCTTCAGCTTTAGATATCTGAGTTATAATCCTATTGTTTTTATTCTTCATTTAATCGAGTGTGACTTTTATTCAATGCTATAAATCAGTAACTATTTCACTCTGGATATAGTTGAATCCTTTCAATGGTTCCTCACTATAATTCCAGGAATCACCTCTTAAAATTGGTCATTAGTAAGTAGATGACAGTTTTGATTATAGAGTATTATAGAGATTATCGATTTCAAAGCCTTAGGTTTTATCCTCAGGACACTCGTGAGTATGCACTACTGTGAAGTCCAATATTATGACCAGATAAATTTCCAGTCCTTCCTGGTTTTCAACGACTGTCTAACCAAAATTAGTCCACGATATGGACATTCAAATCCATCAATCTCCGTAACACCCTATAACAATAGTATATTGAAACGATAATTTGCTCAATGGAAAAAATCATCATGTTTTGTATGAAATAAAAACCTCAAAAGTAATTCCTATTTCGAATTTAAAAACTAACTGCAGGACTATTTAAAATCCCTAAAAGTATTGGATCAACTTTCGATTCTAGTAAACAACCATAATTTGTAAGGAGTACGGTAGTTGTATAGTTTGTATCATGATTAAATTATATTCCTAGGCGTTTGAAATTAAGAAGTGCAAAATACTGAATTGCAAATCTGTGGTTCATCAATGTTTTCTTGATTGCTATGACTCTGTGCTGTTACCAATGAGCATTAGCAAAACAGTTCCACAAAACCCATTCTCATATTAGTCAACTGCTCACTAGTGATTGACTTCAGGAGATACTTCTGGAGTTCTGGTGAGAAGCCGTTACCAGTGGAGTTCAACCAGGTCTGTTGTGAGATATCAGCTCACTGAAAACAATGGTGTGCGGTGGCGCAACTTCATGGATTGGTTGAAGTTCGACATTAACACCGTTGGATGCCGGCCGGCTCAGTGGTTAAGTGCTCGCGTGCGAAATAAGTAGGTCCCGGGTTCGAATCCCGCGTGGGTTCGCACTGCTGAGGAGTCTCGTACTAGGACGAAACGGCCGTCCAGTGCTCCCAGGTTTTCCATAGTGGTCTAGCTTCAATTGACTCATGATTTTAACCTATTAAAAAATATTTGCCTGGTTCTCACTAGTTTTCAACTACCCTACTGATGATTACAGTTCACAATGAAAGTAATTTCCAACTTAGAAGAACTCGATAAACTTCTTACTAAAATAATATTTGGTCTTACAATCTTTTGTTTGAGCAGTTGGTTATCGGTATATTTTTGTTTCTAACTTAATATCTCCTTTTTTTGGTGAACTTTAATTCGAATTATCTGTGTATCAAAATGCTATATGCTCTAAATTATTTAATATAGCTTGTTAGTTTATCTAATGCATAAATTCTGCTATTCCATAATACTCTGTATCTATTTATTGTATAGTAACAATAATAACAATGCTGTATTGAAAATGGGTTATGTATATCGATTGTACGGGATGATCTAACAATTTCTTAAGTGACGAATATAAGTATGTATGTTAGATGGTCGTAGTTAATCGGCAGAAAATCCTCGACATAGTTTTGGTGTTAATTGGAAGTTGTCAGCAGGAGGTATATACAATTGTGGCAGAAATAATGCTCATTATAATCTGATCAACTAATCATCAGTCTTAGTTTATTTCCTCATAGACTTACTGTAACTCACTGTTACATTAGTCAGTATCAAGATTCAAGGTAGACAATATTGGAGAACGGTGAACACGTGTTTCATATACCTCAGCCTATGAAGATTCACAGCTTCACCAACCGACTTACCATCTTTTCTTAGTTCTCTCCATCTAACCTTGCCATTATTTACATATTGAGACTGCATAGAAAAACAACAAGATCTCTATCGGAGTTTAATTTCTCTGTCTTATATTCCCATCGTAAATGTCAACACTGTTAACAATATCTCAACAAATCCATTAGTTTGAATCATCTGTCCTATAAATTACTGTAAAATTTTCTGAATTTTGTAAAATAAACTAGTATAATCTTATGTTTGTCACAGTCGTCATTTTTATCTGTCATATCAGAAGGGTTTTTGTGGATATTATAGTAATTTTAATGATTGAGATCATGAGTTGATTGAAGCTAGACCATCATGAAAAACCTGGAAGCACTGGACGGCCGTTTCGTCCTGTTGTGGGACACCTCAGCAGTGCGCATTCACGATCCCACCTCGCGAGATTCTAGCCCAAGACCTATCTGTCTTGTATGCGAACGCTTAACCACTAAACCACTGAGTCGGCCGGCATCCAATTGTGGTAATGTCTAACTCCAACCAATCCACGAAATTGATCTGCACATTCACCATTGTCTCTAGTGAGTTACTATCTCACGACAGACCCAGTTAAACTCTACTCTCACTAGAACTCCAGGATATACCTCTTTGTTCATCATTGTCTATCATATATATATATATTTTTTTTTCAATTACAAAGTTCTATTCTTTTATGCATTTTTCAAATATTTCGTATCTTAAACTGTATTTTACAGTCTTAATAATCTTTCCTAATTAACCATTATCATCCAAGACATCTTTTGCAAAACTACCTTGATTGATTGAATGCTTTTTCTCTTCTTCATGTATCGAAGTATTTCTATATATTAGAGTAAAATTTACTGAAGGTCTGATTGAAAACTGTTATAACTTGTGGGTTTGTGCCCTTATCAATGTATAACGTAATAATACTGTCAATCAGAGAACAGTGAATTATCGACCGGACCAATGACGACGCATAAAACAAGTATGAGCAGTCTAGAGTCTTTATCGGTTGTGCTTCCTGCTTGTTAAGTTCAGAACATCAATCTCAGCCTTTGTGATATGAATCATTTAGTTCAAGGATACGGGGTTTATATACCAATCAAACAGACCACATCGTACCATAAAATAAGATACAACATTTGTACAAGATTTAGCCAAATGTGGCTGTGAATAAGGGAGATAGTAATTGATAGACAGGGTATAACTCAAGAATGCTAAATCGTATCATAATACTCCATAGGTCAAAATAAATCTTACAATAAGAGGAATATGAATATGCATAGTTGAATTACTTAACGATTATACAATAAAAATATACGTGTATAGTATTGATCTATAAATGGATCCTAAACGTTACCATTCAATACTCTCATCGGAATATAACAAAAACAATCTTGTTCTAATCTTTGAGTTTTTCTAGTATGTTTATAAAAAACAAACATACCCATGACAGTTAATCATTCACTTCCATGTTTTTCTTTTTGTGTTGTTGAAACTATTCAATATCTCCATAGTAGTAGTAGTAGTAGTATTCTGAAGATGGAAAGTAATTCTATCTACATCATAATGATTATATCAAAGAAAATGGTATTTTGATCATATGATGATTCGTTTAATAATTACATGATTGAAATATTAGTCATTTTGTATAGATGAAATTCGGTATAGAAAAGATGATTATTTCACTTTATCTCACTTGGTTAGAAATAATGATTCAAGTTTAAGTGATTCTAATAAAGATTCAATATGTCATTGATACGCATTGCATTTATATTCATATGGAGATTGTTGAGTTTAGATTAATATCATGAATAGATTAATCTTAGACAAGCATTGAAAATATGGAAGCACTAGATGACCGTTTCGTCCTAGTGTGGAACTCCTTAGCAGTGCGCATCCATGATCCCACACCAAAGGGACTCGAACCCAGGACCTTCGGTTTCGCACGCGAACGTTTGACTTATAGACCACTGAGCCGTCATTCGATGGTGACTAGCTTCAAGATGAACTTCTTGGAGTTCTAGTTAGTAACAGTGACCAGTGGAGTTCAACCGAGTCTGTTGTAAGTCAGTTACTAACTGAAGACAATGAGTGGACGGTCGCACAATATCGTGTATTGGTTAAAGTTAACCATTAACACCATTGGATGCCAATTCAGTGCGCGAAACCAAAGGTCTTGGGTTTGAATCTCACGAGGTGAGATCGTGGATGCGCAGTGGTGAGGAGTTCCTCACTAGGACGAAACGGCCATCTAGTGCTTCCATGTCTAACATTAATCTATTCATGATATCAATCTAAGCTATTATTCTATGCAATCAACTAGAACTGATTGAAGAAAAATATAGATTAATATTGATTAGATTAGAGTAATCAAATAGTTTATAGAAGATACTTTTATCTATATATATAAAGCAGTCATTAACATTGAATGCACAGACTTTTATTAATAATGGTTGTGTTTGGTGTTCAATTTTCTGCTTTGTTTCTATCTATATTTGAATGAGAGAATGGCTATGTAACACTTGTGATTGACAAAAGAAAAATTTCATGTAGAATATCAGTTTCTATGAATGGAGCATTAACAAATACTGAATGAAGAAAAGGCTTAAATTATTGATGATAAAAGTTGTTCTTTTTTGTGTGTGTTGTAATTGCTTTCAATCACATGGTCATTCAATTGCTATGAATTAAACACATGTTTACATACAGTGTGCCCTTCCGATGATTCTTTTTTTCTCTCTTTAATTACTTACATTTTCCTTTTCTTTTCTTTTTTTTTCTGATTATCTAGAGTGGAATTTGAAGTACCCGAGAATTCGGTCTTCAGTCCAACTGACAAATCTTCACAATAGGTTAGCCACTACTCTTCATAAATATATTTATCCTTCTTTTTTCTAAAGTTTCAAGGGATGATAATATGAATCTATTTTCGATACTGGACTCCCTGTTCATAATAAATGTTGACTAATGGATTTTCACACTCATTCATATTGGTTGATACATATATTAACTGTACAACTATGTTCTATAGAGAATTCAGTTAGTATATTTATTCTACAGAATAATTGTCCCTGTTTATTTCAAATATATACTTATGAAGTCAGTGCGTGATGTCAAACCATAAATTTAACAATTTCTACCAAATTCTATACTAAAAATCCTATGAACTAACTTCGAAAGGTCATTCTTAGAGTTTTAGTGAGAACCATCGGCAAGATCAATCATGTTGGAGTCAATCAATTTCTTTGCAATAAGATTCCACAACATTTCGAATCGATCGGACCTAGAAATATGAACCATTGGCTGTTGTCTCAAACGTGAAAGATTTAGTGATACCAGAAGGTCTTGGGTTCAATCTTGGATGGGATAGTGAATGAGTACCACTGAAGAGTTCCATACTCAGTCAAGTGTGCAACGTTGGACGTGGGATATGTGTACATCGGTTCAGGTTACCATATACCTCATAGAACAGTGAGGTGAAATTGTTGAGGCTTCTTTGTTTTCAATGATTTCCCTTGACTTATAACTACAAATAACCTATGCTAACAATTATCTAGAAGGATTTAACAGATAGTATCCTAATACATTTCTAAGCTTGTATGTTACTGTTGATAATAACGAACTGTGTGTTCAACACAGAGTTCCCTAAACATTTCTACTAGATGCTATATACATGTGTAAAGTACATCGTACAGTGTTGGTGATCTATTGTACACAGTTTACGTGTTCACTGTGTTCATATAATGTATCATAAGATATTTTCTCTCACTTAATTTACATAAATATTTCCATCTATATGTATGTAAATGAATTGTATAATGAGTAATGTTAAAGATTTTCAATATTATTCAATTAGTTATATGGTACATTAGATCTGGTATAGATAGATGTGTATCATTTCAAATTGTAATACTAAGAGGAATAGATAAAATGGAAATTAAATAGAATTAAATATTTTCACAGATTGAAATCATAAGTCAGTTGAAGCTAGACCACCATTGAAAACCTGGAAGCACTGGATGGCCGTTTCGTCCTAGTATGGGACTCCTCAGCAGTGCGCATCCATGGTCTAGCTTCAACTGACTCATGATTTCAATCTGTGAAAATTTCTAAAAATCTCCACAAACCCCTTCTGATGAGAATTAAATATACCAAGCACTAATCTGATAAAAGATTACAACATGTACGATCTGTATGTAATAAACAAATAGGTGAACATGTAATTCAACAATCATAAATAAAATAAAGAATATTTGAGCGAACCATTGTTTCTGCAATCACTTCATCATCAGGCTCTACAATTATAAGTTCATAATGAATGTGATATTTTACAAAGGCCAAAAATAAGGCATGATATTCATGAATTTGACAATGTTACGTGTTAAAAATGGTGCACGTTTCCATCTGTCACAATAAATATCTATGTACTTCAAAATTGTATTATTTGACAAATTAGAAAGTATATAGATATTTATCGTGAAAGATGGAAACGTGCATCATTTTTAACACGTAACATTGTCAAATTCATGAATATCATGCCTTATTTTTGGCCTTTGTAAAATATCACATTCATTATGAACTTATAATTGTAGAGCCTGATGATGAAGTGATTGCAGAAACAATGGTTCGCTCAAATATTCTTTATTTTTGAATATTCTATGGGGATTTTTAAACTGCATAAATAAAATATTCAATTACTTCTAATCTTTAATTGTGTTGTTCAATTCTAATCAATTGGAAGACTATTATCACAAATCTGATGTTATTTTGTTGATTGTAGTTTTTGTTCCTACTGTTGCTAGTGGTGGTGGTGGTGGTGTTGTTGTTGTTGTTGTTGTTGCTATGGTTGCATTAAATTAAACTCATAAATCTAGTAGCAATACAATTCTTTCTTAAATTTTTATTTTACAATTTTATTTCGATATAAGTAAAAGTGAAACCATGTTTATATCAATCAATCGTACACTTATAATCATATGATTGTAACTTATCAAATATGATAGATAAATTTTAACTGTTCAAATGATCTTTATTAGATTGTGGTTTTATGTGATATAACTTTGTCATGTAATCTTATGTAAATTTAGTAGATTTTTTGTTTGTTTGATGATAGATTCGTTGTTAAATAAAGGCAATATCATATGATTAAATTATGTGAGAGATAGTTAGTTGTTCAATTGTTATTACTCAATTGTTTAAGGTATACAGTTGATTTAAACACCTGATAATAATCACCATATACCCACTAGTGACTACCTTCAAAAGGTATTTCCTAGAGTTCTAGTGAGAAGTCATGACCAGTGGAGTTATTCAACCAGGTCTGTTGTGACATAGTAACTCACTGATGACAATGGTGGATGTGTCGCTCAATTTCGTGGATTGATTGAAGTTAGACACTATCACCGTCGGGTACCATCTGGCTCAGTGGTCCAATTGGTTAAGCATTCGCGCGCGAGACCGAAGGCCCTGGGTTCGAATCCCGCGAGCGGGATCGTGGATGTGCACAGCTGAGGAGTCCCACAATAGGACGAATTGGTCGTTCAGTGCTTCCAGGTTTCCAAAGGTGGTCTAACATCACTCGGTTCATGATCTCAATAAGAAAAACCTTTTGTTACACTTTTATAAACCCTTTTTGATGAAGTATATATTAGAAAAAATAAATATCAAAATGCATAAAAAGATACTTTGTGAGAATGTAAATCACATATAAATTACTATTTTGATGGAGTTTTATTCTCTAAGCTGGATGGTTTAGTCGTGGAGCTTTCATCTTTTTTCTGAACGACATCATCAGCAAAAACTCCAGATAGAAGTGAAGTATTCGAATTTCTCCACATGTTGTTCACAGCTTGTCCTGTACACGTCGATGTTGATTGATTCTTGTTGAACTTAAACCTGTGATTGTTTACTTCTTTGTTTAAGGCCAACAAGAATTAATCAACATCGAGGTGTACAGGACAAACTGTGAACCATATGTAGAGAAATTCGAACACTTCACTTCTGTCTGAAGTTTGTGCTCGTAATGATGTCGTTCAGAAGAACGATGAAAGCTTGACAACCAAACCAATCGGCTCAAAGAACGAAACTTCATCAAAACCATCCATCTGAGCTACCAATCTTCTCCACCATCTATAAATTACTATTAAATTAATTTGGTAATTGTGTATGTATATATAATTTATTTAGTTTATTTTAACACAGATATTGGTACAAGGAAGCACCAAATACATATACGCCACACAAATCTCATTTTATATGTGTGAGGGCTGTGATACTGCCCGGATGCCCAGACCGAAACAGGTGGTTTTCTTAGAGGGCCACACCCGTAGCCTTCGACCTAAAGGTCTGATCCACAAGGCAGTGGATCAACGTCAGGAGATGCAGTCTCATGATAGCCGGTGACCGACGATTGGATCATACGCCATTTGTCCCCTCAGGATCCTGAAGCCCATGTGCACCATTGGTTTGGAATGAGGGTTTTCCAAGTCTCCTAGGTGGACTCTCCATATCCACCAACTCGGTTAAAGCGTCGGACACTCGCTTTTCTTCCTCTCAATTTCCTAAACAACAGTAATGCCACGAGAAGGCAGTGAGTAGGACTTCTTTGGCATAGGCTATATACGCGTGGCCGTGTGAGAGTATTTCGAGAGGGATAGCGAACTCTCTTCACTCTCGGCCGTACCAGGGCATTTGGGGGCGTATATATAATATAGTTAATTTCATGTTCTAATAACTTTTTTATAGAAGATATGAATGAGTGATAACCAAAGTATCAATTCATATTAATAGTAGTATATTTTCCTAATTCAGTATGCATATTTTTATGATAATAGAGATTTGAACTCAAATGACTAGTTTCATATTTTTCTATACAATATCATAATACTTATTGAAGTAGTTAAGTACGTTTATTACTCACTTCATTTATCGCATTAACTTGATCTTGTCATAGATTGAAAAATCTCGCTTATATTTTCTTCGAATAGCATCAGTTTTCAGTCTGTTAAACAAAGAGCAAGTTTACTTCAAAGTGATTTGCTTTCTATTACTCTATGACTGTGTAACAGTCTCTTTTTTCTCTTTCCATTATTATTTCACTAAATTATACTCTTTAAATAACATCTTCAATCCCTAATCTTTCCGATTACTGCTTATACTCTTACCGCCTCTACCACTACGAGATTTAAATCAACAACTGCATTTCTGTGCTAATGTGGTGTGGCAACTCGAACTGATGTATGTACGTACGTATAAAGTTCTACGTTGTTACTGACTGATTGACTGTAACAGTCTTATAGAAATGAAAATATACAACTGATGACATGTTTTTAATGAAACAGTACTCTTTGTTTTTTCGTGAAGTAAACATGAGTGATCAATATACTATGATTAAGTAGGAGGGTACAAAGTTAATCATTTGTTAATTAATTCCTTTAATCTCCATCGATTAAAATGGTTATGTATGTCAAATCATCTACTTAGACGTGTAATAATTGATTGAAGCACAATTAAGTTGAAAAGCGATTAATGTATATTCATACTAGTGACAGTGAATGAACCAATCAGAATTGAAATATAATATAATATAGATTTTTGAGTGAAATTAAAAGTCCAATGAAAGATAATTTGTGTGTTATTATGAAGTAAGAGAATAGTTAGTTTTTATAAGATTTGATATTGATGCAAATTATATTTTATGCAATTAAACAATGGATAGTTTTATTTATTTAAACACATAAATCATTCGATTTATGTCAGCGTTGGGTTACTACCCGGGGGTGCCCAAACAGAAGGATGTGGTTTTCTTAAAAGGCCACAGCCAGAAATCTTGACATAAATTTTTAATCTACAA